CCCGACCCCGACCCCGACCTCGACCCCTCTCCGTCCCAGGCCCACCGCAGGCTGCGCAGGTCCCACTCGGGCCCGGCCGGGTCCCTCAACAAGGCCGCCGCCAGGGGCCCCGGCCACCCGCACAGAGCTTCTCCCAACTCCGACGACGACGAGAAACCCGAGGTGCCCCCCCGGGTCCCCATACCTCCTAGGCCAGTGAAGCCAGACTACAGACGGTGGTCGGCGGAGGTGGCGTCCAGCACCTACAGTGACGAAGACAGGCCTCCCAAAGTGCCGCCCAGAGAGCCGCTGTCCCGGAGCAGCTCCCGCACACCGAGCCCCAAAAGCCTTCCGTCTTACCTCAATGGGGTCATGCCCCCCACGCAGAGCTTCGCTCCCGACCCCAAGTACACCAGCCCCAAAGCCCTGCAGAGACAGAACAGCGAAGGGTCTGCCAATAAGGCGCCCTGCATCCTGCCCATCATCGAAAATGGGAAGAAGGTCAGCTCGACACATTATTACCTCCTACCTGAGAGGCCGCCGTATCTGGACAGATACGAGAAATTCTTTCAGGAAGCCGAAGAAGCAGACGTGGGCACCCACGTCCAGGCGCTGCCCGCTGCTGACGGCCTCGGGCCCCCGGCCGCAGACAAGCCCGGCCCGAAAGCGAGAGCGGCCCCCGGCGGCCAGGGGAAGCGCAAGCACCCGTCCTGCGTGGTTTCCCCTTAGACTCTGGGTCGCCGGGCAGCGGAGGTGCCACGGGCGCAGGTGGCTCTCGAGCTGTGTTCCAGTCCGGCTGAGGTTCACAGGAAAACGATTTAGCTGCGGAATAAAAATTGGACTCTGTGCTAGAGAGGCTGGGAGTGGCTGTGAGGTGCTTCATGCTGAGGGTCCCTGATCTTGTCAGCGTTGGAGAAAAGTCTGTCCAAGGCTACAAAGACACGATGGCGGAGGGCAGGCCGGGGGCTCGCACGCGCACGCTGCGTTGTAGACTGTAGTTGCAGGCTAACCAGTTAGTGGCTGTCGTAGAGTAATAGACACCCCGAATGCTAGAAACTGAAGCTGCAGAATGATTCTTGATAGGCTGAAAATTGAGCAAACAGAAGAAAACGCAGTATTTAGATCAAATCATAAAAAAAAAAAAAAAAGAAAAAAAAAATTCTTAGTAAGTTTGAAGATTTCTGTCTCTGGCCTTGTTCTGTTTTTTTGTTTTGTTTTGTTTATTTTTGCAAGCTGTCTTTATGGAGGGCAGGGTGTGTGTGCTCGCTGTGGCTCTGCCTGTGGGTCAGCACCGTCCCCAGGCCCGCAGACTCCGCCTCGCTTCTGGCTTCCCCGAGGGGGGTCACAGCGGTTTGTTTGGCCACCACCCTTCACCTGCACATGTGTCGCATCTTGAAAAATGGGAAGCTGATAGAATTAGTACATTTTCCATACAGTTCCTCCTTTGTTCCACTAAAACGGCCCATTGTCACGTATGCCTTACAGAAGCAGCGGGAGGCAGACTGTCCCCAATGTCCAGGGTGTCCATTTTAAGCAATAATGAAACAGCTATGTGATCGAGAGTTTTCGTGTGGGGATGTGTGTGGTGTTTTTTTGTTTGTTTTTTTTTTAGACTTAATAAAACAGATACAGCACAAGCAGGCCTTGTGTTGCTGGTTCCTATTCAGTATTTCCTGGGGATTGTTTGCTTTTTAAGTAAAACACTTCTGACCAAGAATGCAGTATGTCCTGATACCAGAGGTCACATCAGCCTCGCTCTGCTTTCAAACTCTCGCAGCTGGCTGCTTCAAAAAAAAGCGAGATGTAGCTCCTGTTCATCCTTCCACGGCTCCCGTGCAGTCATCCTACGTAGCTAAGCACAGGCGAGAAGGTGCTCACTAAACGTACATCACTGCAATGTTCTCTTAACAGTTAAACAAGCTGTTTACAGTTGAAACTGCTGAATGATACTATTTGAGCTATTTAAAGCTTGTATTTTAGTGTGAACTAAATGAAGGTTAAAACATGCTTTAGAAAAATGCACTGATTTCTGCATCATGTGTACAGTATTGGACAAAGGATTTTATTCATTTTTGTTGCATTATTTTGAATATTGCCTTTTCATTTTAATAAAGTTATACTTATTTACAATACTGTTACTGTTTCTTGGCTACACTGACAGAATTTTATGTCTTAAGTCATTTAACATCACCTTTTTTAAGCAAAAGGCAGATTTTTTTTTGGCAATTTAGTACATACTTGAAATTTACTGTCATTCCCTAAAATGACAAATAATTTGGGCAATTCATATTTAAACATACAAATGCATAGAGAAATGAGCTGTTGGTATTTACCTTTAATGATAGTGAACTTGAGTCAATGCTGATTTGTCACTATCAAAATGTGTCGTCGGGGAGGGGCGGCCCACTCGCGGGAAGGAGACGGGAGAAACCAGCTCTGATAGACTTGTCATGTGACTCACTGAGTTTTAGGACCAGGTCCGGACTCTGGGCCTCTGGGAGGCTCCGCCTCTTGCTTGATGTGAGGTCACCCAAGCACCCCCAGCCTGCCCCAGCCTCTTGCAGAGGGGGCGAGTCTCCCGGCAGCTTTTGGAGGAAGCCGGGGTGCTGTTTGCGAGGGTGCTCGCCAGGGTCACCTCCTCCACCATCCTCTGCCCTATGGCTAAAGTCAAGCTGCCCGCCCACCTGGAGGATGGAGATGCTCTCCGTGACCTTAACCGTGCACCTGCGTGTCCTTGGTACCCTCCAGAGTCCAATCGGTGATCTGGGCTCAGAATCCAACTCCACCTCTTTCTGATTGTGTGTTGGGCAGGTTCTTAAAAGTCCCCAGACCTCAGTGTTCTCATGGGTAAAGTGGGGGGAGGGGTGGCACCTACAATAGGGAATCATCTGTGACAAGTGCATATAAGCGCCAGCGACGGTGCACAGTGAGGGCCCTGCTCGTGAACTGCCAACTCGCTGTCACCCTGAAAGCTGGGTGTCGTTCCTGGCCTTTGACAGATGAAGAAATGAGCCCAGTATGTTCATTCGTGCCAGACCCGGAGAAAACACCCCCCAACCCTCCCACCCCCTGGCCCTAATGGGATTTAAAGCAGAACGTGATTCCAACTGATGTACATGCTAAAAAGTAGTGAACGGTGGTGGTGGCGGAATGACAGCTCTCTGAGGTGGTGAGACTTGAAGGGTTGGCATCTAAGCGGAAGGAGGCAGGCGACGAGGGCGGGCTAGCGGAGAAAATGAGGCCGAGGGCAGAGAGAAGGCTGGGCTTTCCCATCAGCTGGGAGCTGTCATGGCAGGGATGGGCAATGGGAAGAGGCAGCGGACGCGCCTCAGAGGTGTCCGCGGGGGAGTGACATGATCTGATTTGTTTTAAAAAGTTGACAGTGGCTGTCGCGTGGAGAACAGATCGGGGAGGAGCTGAGGAGACGGGAGACTTGAGGACTGAGGCTGTCCTGACGGGTTTGGGTGCCGGGTGGTGGAGATGGGGAAAACTGGCTCCGAAAGCGTCTTGGAGGTAGGAAGGGCTCGGGAGCTTGGGCGGGACGCAGCCCAGCGGGCCGGGCGTCCTCCGCCCCGAGCAGCAGCGGAGTCGGGATGCAGCGCCTCCACGACCGCATCTCGCGTCCCTTCTGCCTTTTTTTGCCCCCTCCACTGCCCTTTGCATTGCAGTCGAGACCAATTAGTTCCATATTTGCTTCCCTCTTACCTCCGGGTGTTTCTTTGATTTGGGGAGAATAGACATTTTCTTACTTTTTCCTGGCCACGCTAATTTTTGCTAATGCCACGTGACTGGAAGGAACCCTGTCCACAGCACCATCTGCCAGCTTGATCCTCAACCAGAACGCTGAGCAAATTGACTTCCAAAGCCCGGGTCGGCCCCGTGCTACTCACTTGGCTGTGGCCGAGACCAGTACCAGGGAGGAAACGGCTGTCTGCTAGCTGCCACTTGTGCGTCCTCGAGTTCTCTCTTCCGGCAGGTAGTATCCAGTGACAAAGTGCTGTCCCAAGGGCAAGACGTGCAGACTCCAGGCGTAACCTCTCACACTCCAAGCGAAGGCTTCCTGTAGCTTCCCTGGGCCTCGCCTTCCCATCCGTGGGGGATGGTGCCGCAGCAGAGCTCAGTACCATACGGCCCCAAGGGATGTGTCACTAGGGACCGCTTCATGGCACAAAGCAGAAGCTACAGTCCGTCAAGAGGACCCGTGTGTAAGTCAGCTCAAAATTTGGATAATGTGAAATATTAAGTCGGCCCAGGTTGCAATAACCAGTATGTGTGGCCTATCTTTTTATTAAATTCCGCACCTAATGGAAGTTCAATCTTGTTTATATGTTGATTATTTCTAGGTCCCAAGTGATGTCTTAACTACGTTATGAAAAGAACCATCTTTAAGAGGGTGCTAGGAGCCCCATTCCAAAACAGAGGCCTCGGATTCTTCTGGAGTGTTACACAGATTGAGAAGAGACAACTATATCCGTACATCCATCTATCTACGAGCTCGAGAATTAAAACACATATTAAGTTATTCTTATTTTAGTTCTTAATTTCATGCCATAATTTATAGTTTTAGAGTCTATGGAGCCTTTTCCTTGAAAATAATCTCCTAGCAGGGTTATAGCATACAGGTTTTTTTTTTTTTTTTTTTTTTACTTCTTATTTTGAAATAATTATAGACTCCCAAGAAGTTTCAAAAATAGTACAGAGGTCCCTGTACCCACTACCCAGACTCCCCCAAGAATAACATCTTATATAATTATAGTCTGTTATCAAAACCAGAAAATCAACATCATCACGATACTCATATAGTATTTTTTCTAGAAATAGTATCAAAGTGGACTTAGCTCCTACTTTTTAAAATTTGTTTACAAAGTAACTTTGGCATTCTGTTAGGCATTTTGTGAAAAGCTAATAAAGCTTTAAAAATATACTGCCAGGTAACTACACACATGATGATGATGAAAACCAAAAAGATAAACTGCACGTGAACTGTGATCTGCCAAGATTTTTCTGCACGATTCATTTGCATTCGCTGTAGTAAAGATAATACTTCAGACTCTGGGGACTCCTGAATGCTGTGTCCTTTATAGGTCCTCTGCTGGGACAGATGCAGCCTTGAGAGGACACATCTTTGGATCTGAAATGTGTCAACTAATCAGGAGGCAGAGTGAACTTCTAAACCAGCGCTAGAGCTTCGAGGTGTTCTTGTCCCAAGGAAAATAAGCTTGGTTCATCCTAAAATACACTCAGAGATGGCTTTTCTTTGTAGACCGGTCCATTTGACAAAGGTTTTGGGCCTTTTTCTCTGCACACAGGAATCAAGACTTTCAGAAGTTTGGGGATTTTCTTTGGGCAAAGGAGAGAGGGGAGAGAATTGGGAGAAGGTTCCGGTGTGTCCGGACTCGGTGAGCCTCGCCTTTATCCATCGTCACTCAGTGCAGCATGAGCGAGGCATGTCTAATGCAGTTTGCGGGTGTGAATTTTCATGCTTTTCACTTGGAAGCATCACACTTTAAGATGCTCCTGCCTGAGCCACTGAGAAGCACACACCGCAGCATGCGGAAACGTGCTCTCCTCTGCGTTCACGTGATCAGAAGTCAGAGGCCAACATACTTGGCGTGGATGTGCTTCTGCACCTGAGAAAATTTTTCCACTCGGTAGTGACCCTTTGCTCCTCTAGGTCTGCTGCCACCCAGGGCAACAGATGGGGCTTGGGGACGGAGAGAGGGTTAGGGACAAGGGGAAAGACTCTGGGTACTGGTGTTCACCTGCCCGTGGACAGCTGGCAGGCTACTGGGCTGAAGCCTGCCTCTGGATCTCCATCATCCCTCATCCTGATTCCAGAAAACTGCCAGGAGCCCCAAGCGAGGCGACCTGTAGCGAGTCACTGAAACAGTATCCACCACACATAAACCTGCTGCTCCCCCGCCCCGCCCCCCACTCCCCCCAGTAAGAAGGCCGGTGGGAGGGACCAGTCCTTGGGAATGTGTATCAGTCACCTTGACTCTGTCCTGCTGGAGAAAGGCACCACCTTCATTCCTCGCAAATAACTTTGGATCCACGTCAAATAAACATCTTAATCACATGCTTCGTGCGTGCGTATTTCTTCATTTTGCAGTGGGCGGGGTCAGCGCAGCGCCGCCCCCCGGGACTGCCTGAGTTTAGGACACTCCCTTCTTGTG